TTCTTTTAGGGCTTTGCAGATGGCTGTGGCATGCAAAGGCTTCACCACGTGTGTTACAATCACAGGGTTTCTCTCCTGTGTTTGTTCTCCTATGCATTTGAAGACCACTCTCATATACAAAGGCTCCAGTAAGCATTCTTTTATGTATCTGAGGATGACTGTGACTTGAAAACTCTTCATTACATTGGACACTTTTATAGGTTTTCTCTCCACTGTGAATTCTTTCTTCCCTTTGAAGATGCCTGTGACATACAAAATCTTGATCACTTTGCGTATATTTAGAAATTTTATCTACAGTATAAATTCTTCCATGCCTGTGTATGTGATTGGCCCTATTGGAAGTTTTACCCCATGTATTATATTACTGAATATTTTTATATGTATGAATCACTTTTACAGAGTTTTCTAAATGTAATGAGAAATCAGATATAACAGGGTTTCATCATTTTGTTTATGTCCATGATGTTCTCCTATATTATGGGTTCCATTACATCTTTAAGGATATCTGTTATTGTAAAAGTATTTATTTCATGGCTCACATTCATAGCAATCTTTTCTCATATGTTTTTTTAAAAAATATATTTAAGAAACCGTGAAAGAAGTCACAGCTTTTAAACAATCACTGCAGCCAGGCAGTGGTGGTGGATCTCTTTAATCCCTGCACTTGGAAGGCAGAGGCAGGTGGATTTCTGAGTTCAAGGCTAGTCTGGTCTTCAGAGTGAGTTCCAGGACAGCAGGACTATACAGAGAAATCCTGTATTGAAAAACTAAAAAAAAAGAAAAGAAAATCATATCAAGTTCAACAAACTACTCAAAGTGGGAATAATAACTTATCGTCTAAATGTTCTGGGAGAGAGAGAAGTACAGGATTTCTATCAATATCTCTAAATAATTGGGAACTGCATCCTCTATATAAAAATATAGGTAAATAGATAGATAGATAGATAGATAGATAGATAGATAGATAGATGAACAGAGATGTATGTGCCTTACAATATACTATTAAAGGTAGAATAACAAATAAAAGGAACCCATATTGCATTCAAACAATTTGAATTTTTGTACTCAAGAGACATGTGTGGTATTCACATTAAGTTTTCTATGCAAATTTCTCAACCCTTATGAACTTCCACTATCAGGAAACTTACCCACCTTCCTACATGTACGTGAGTAACATCTCCTTTATTGTGCACTGTTTGCTCATGAGAATGATTTGGATATACACATAATACATTCAAAGTGTCTACTTCTTGTAATATTTACAGGTATTAAGATAAACAGACTGGCAGATCTGCATTTTAGTGTCAATGGGGCTGTGCTTCAAATAGTACTATCGGTTAAGGCACTGTTTCCATGTATTCTACACTGAAGAATGCACTGCAAATGAAAAAAGAATACCTGTCATATATGTACATGTATTTGTTAGAATTAAATACTCAATATCTTTAAAGCTCTGCTTATTTACACTGTCAGTTTTTTTTCTTTTTTTTGGTTCTTTTGAGACAGGGTTTCTTTTTATAACCCTGGGTGTCCTGGAACTCAGTGTGTAGACCAGTCTGGCCTGGAACTCAGAAATTCACCTGCCTCTGCCTTCCAAGTACTGGAATTAAAGGTGTGAGCCACAACCACCTGGCCTACACTGTTTTTTTTTTTTTTAACAAAAACATCAAGAACACATGGAGATTTCTTCAGAGGCATATTTGGATCACCACATAAATAAACATTACCTTCCATGTCTTCTAGAATTTTGAGAATTCTTTTCATAACTGTGGTCTTCCCAATAATAGCCTGAAACATAGTACCAGAAAATGTATGATATGAAGATAGGCAAAATTTAAGGTACTCTCTTCAGTGAACCTTAAACCACGTCTGATTCATTCACCTCATTCTTCCCCCTTCTCAATTGAAATTATAGAAGAGCATCAACAACAACAAAAGAAGCAAGCAAAAAGACAAACAAACAAACATACAAACCAAGAAACCAGTTGCCTTCTGATTTTAAAAAGGAAAACAACATTAACAGTCTTACCTATAGCAGTGAGGTTCCTGAAGGTCTCCAGCATCACCTCTTTGTAGAGCTTCTTCTGGGAAGGATCCAACAAAGCCCATTCTTCCCGAGTAAAGTTTACAGTCACATCCTCATAAGTCACTGCATCCTAAAACATCCCGTACGTGCGTATAAAAGAAAGCATGGTGTTCACATAGTCAACATATATTTCATTGATATTGTATTCAAATGATTCCCACTTTTCCTCCAGTTACTTCCTGACACAGACGTTATAATGTAATTACAAAGCCTTTTTAGAAGGAAAGTGAATTAAAAGGTTCACTTCTCCCATTTCTTTATCTTTTGAATAGGATATACATTTGCAAGAAAAAGACCAATTAACAGATATAAAGAGACAAGCAAACAGATCAACAGTACTAAGCACACATCATATTGTATGAATAATTACCAACTACAAAAAGTAAAGAATTATTTGTCAGATGGTTATTTATT